GGGGTATTAAACGCTCTTAAGCTCAATAAAAAAAGAAAATGCTAGTCAAACTACTCATAAAATTAGTGTTATAGATGGAAAAAACTGCTGTTTCTGATGGCACAGCGTGAAGAGGTTTGAGAAGTTTAATCATGGAACAGCTTTGAAGATGATGCCTGCTCTAGATGACCCTCCTCTGTAAACAAAAACCTATTAAAAGAAATTACTGCTGAAAATTTAAGTTGTACAGTTCAGGAACTATTAGGCAAAATAAATATTCCAAAAAGTACAATAAAAGGTCATTTGAAGAAGGCTAAGTATGTAAGCAGTTACTATATATGGGTACTCCATACTTTAAATACAGCAAAATTTGCTTACTCAAGTTTTGACTTCGTCAGAGAGTCATTCTTCGCCAGAGAAAAAATAAAATAATTTCCTATTTTCAAATGGCTCATTAATAGAAATAAGAAGTGAATGCTACACACTAACATTACAACTGCTTATGCAATTCAATGGAAGTTTATGTTTTTGTACTGCTGCATTTATCATAAAAATAATAATAAAAATAAAAATAAATAAAGCAAAACTTTACAGATGGAGTTGAAATATATAGATAATATATCTCTAAACATTCAGTATATAATGTTAATTTATAAAATAATTTGAAAATTGTACACTGCCGGGGGGGAGGGGAAGATATTAAAAAAAAAAAAAAAAAAAAAAAAAACCCCAAAGATTTCAGATTTAAATACTCTAGGGGCGTTTTTTAATTTTTTGTGTGTTACCTTTTTTATTAATATCATTTTTTGCCACTAAACAGAAATTCAGTTCAACAGCCAACATCGAAAATAGTTTTTAAAGATCATATCTGAATTTCCAATACAGAGACTCCACCTGGAGATAATTTTTTTTTTTTTCTGTACAATGTTGCTATTTTCCTTTAAAAAACCTTGAGTTTAATCAAAAATCGTTAATGTTTACAAAATAGGAAACGATATAAACAAATCCAAATTTCAATTTAGTCTTCCACATGCCAATTCATAGGAGGATGTCTTGGTGGCTCTATGTACCGTCGTTTTATCATAATGCGAGAAGTTACTACATTTTATGCAGATTTTTATTACTAATTTCTCAATAGATGCAGGACTCTAACATTTGGTGGCACAGTTTGAAAAGTGAACCGGACTTAACTGTTAACGCAAATCGCAAAACGAAACATAGTCCTTCAGGGACAAAGCCCATTTGGATTAAAAACTGATATAAAGAACAGTAGCTGATAGGTTGTCTTTTTAATAAAGTTTAAAAAAAGCAAATGTTTGGGAACAAAAATTTCTGGTAGAGTTTATTATCTGAAGTGAGAAATATCGTCTGCTACTTTTAAATTTATTCTTCTTTCAAAACACTGCATGTAAACAAGCTGAAAAAATACGAGTTGAAGGATATGTTTTTGTGCTTTCCATAGAAAAATATTTCTATTCCAGAATATTGTAAAATGCATGGTATTCAAATTTCTATGTGCAGAATAAGCAAAGTTATTAACTAGAAAGGACAAAATTGCTGATTATTACTTCTACTTGGAAATAAATCTCCATGCAAATACTTGAAAAATATATGTATTGTTTTTAATGTTAAATCATTGGTAACGAGATAAATCTGCCAATGCAAAAATCAACTACAAAGTTTTTAAATATATCTGTAGCAATAATAAATAAAACAAGATTTAAAACTTTAAAAAATAAAAAAAAAAAAAAAAACATAACCGCTTTCCAGGCATGTGCTTAATGCACCCCAATTTGGAGAACCCTGGATAAAAACTATTTAACAGGAGGTAAAAGGAAATACACTGTAATCCTTGATGAAACATTTGTTTGCCAAAATGAGTGCAAGCAAAAAAAAAAAAAAAAAACTATGTGTACACCACGACTTCCTTGTATGGAATATTAAATTAACCACACTTTTTCCTGCCTTTCATTTACACATATTTCCTCAAATTTCATTAAAGATATATTTCTCATTCAATTAATTCAGTTCTCACTTTGCAACAAGGCAAAAATACATAAAACTCAAAATATCTATATCAAAAATTGAAATATATAGAAAAACATAAAACCCCAAATACAGTTAAAAGAATTTTAAAAACAATTTAAAATTAAAATTACAGTTTCTACGCAAAAACTTCCCATTAATATGGTAAATTATTTTTTGCTTTTTATTGCATTATCATATAGATTATAAATAAAAGCTTATGATATAAAAACTTTTTTAATTGTATTTTATTTTAATGTTATACATTGCATGTCTTACGAAACCATAAACACCATCCTGTGTTTGCAGAAAATTAATCCTTCTTATTTTAAACGGACAGACTCTCCGTAACAACCAGTTTCCTGCTTTTTATCTGCTTATAAAATGCTTAATAATGTTGCCATCTATAGGAATTCCTTTTGTGTACTATCGTCTTATGGATTACTACAGCCTTTTTCATTTTTTCTATAATAGCATCTCTTGTCTATGATTTTACACTAACTTTTAATCCAGAAGACATCAGCTGTTGCACAGCAACTTCATTTTTTTAATGGTTCCCACTGTGGCTTAATTCAAAGAAAAATCCCTAGCCACAGATGTTGAACCATGTCTGTTTTTAAAACAATATAAAATGTTTATCTTAATCTTCAATGAAATTGACTTCCTTTTATTTTTCAAAATTCTGGCATTGCTCAACATTTTAGAATTTATATTGTGGAATAACAAGAAAACATGTCACACACACACATAGATAATGCTAGCTGCTCACAATTTCTAACGGAATCAATACAAGTGACTAAACTGTACTGTGTAGTTTCTAAAAAATTTTCTTTCTTCCACATACCTATATGCAGATGCCAAGTACTACATATATGCAGCACATGTAGAAAATTCTAAAAAGGAAAATTTTACTGTTTTATGCATTGTTAAAATAATGTTCAGCACTTTTTAATGCATTTTTAAAATCATGGGGCAAAAAAGCTATATTAAAGAGAGAATCCAATTTATTTGGATCATGCAAACCAAACTTACCTAATATGAGTGGAACTTATTTCATTTGGAATCCATTCAGTTACAATATGGATGTTATTCTGAATGAAAAAAATAAGAATTAATTACAATTAAATAACATGTCAATGTGTAATAAAAATAATTTCAAATACTTGTTTTGCACTAATTTACAAATTTATCCTTAATTACAGAAACCGTTTTGTAACATTTTTAAAGAACACTTAAAAACAAAAATTTGGCTAGGCTTCGACATACAATCATTCAGCCGCATCAATCAGCTAACTTTTCTCTAAGGTCGACTTGACCTTAATTTAATTTATTTGTACTTTAATTTTATATATATTTTGCATTTATTTTAAGACATAGCAAATATTTTAATTCATATGCACATATGATGAAATTTTTAATTTTTGGTCTGAAAGAAAGCTGCAGTAATGGCCAGTTCATTCAGTTCTTTATTTATGACTTCATTAACAACATGTATATCTAAATTAGCTCAAGAGACACATCCATTATTCCATTCACGGAAAAAAAAAAAAAAGCCAGCAGTTTTACCTGCAAGCTAAAATTCTAACTTTAATTTGTAATACAGTCAAAAGTCGTTAATCCAGACTCGTCGGGACTTCGGCGATTCCGATTATCGATTTTCCGATTATAGATCATCGTTTAAATCTGGTAAGATGCATGCAGAAATTATAAAATTAAAATATGAAACCTTTTTTGAAATAAAGAACAATTATGATCTAAAGGGTATCAAAATTTACAAAAGAAAAGCTTAATATTTATTGTTTACTTTATTAAACATTTCTTTCAATGTAAGTTGTTAAGTTGCTTCGTTTTGTATATACTTTCTCTTTAATTCTAAAAACATAATTTCTTGTTCAGTTACAAAGTTCGCTGTTCAAGTCCTATAATTGCTGTGTCGAGAACCGACAATTGTCATCGAAATTTTTCGTTTTCAATAACCTCTGTCACTTTCTTCGCATCGAAAGGAATATAATGACGAGGATTTGATTTAAATCATATCAAAAGAAGGAGTACATCGAGAAATACTACATTGGTAAGCATTATAGCCAAATAAAATAAAAATCTGCCCTGAAGGTAAGGATAGTGCTGACAGATCAACTTCCAATTCATTTACGCCGCCCGTTTGCAAATTTAGATAAACAGAAAGTGTAATTATGCCTTTCCATTTTTTGAGCATTCCATTTTTGTTTAAGGACTCCGATACTTTCGCTTTGAGATCCTTTACATATTAGTAAATATCGGAAATTCTATTGACCTAATCGAAATCAGCTTACTTTTATAAAATTGCTCTAACAGTCTGCAAAAATAATAAGCCGGATCCATTCGAAGATAAGGAACCAACGCAATCTGCAACATTAACTGAATAGATAATTTAGCTAGCTTACCTCCGTTATACATTAAACGCGCCGTAAACGTTTTGCGCACGCCACGCAATCGCAGCCGTAAGGTCTTCGCGACACATGCACAGAAAGTTTGTAGCTTTGAGGTCCGGATTATGGGTGTCCGATTTAATGACTTTTGACTGTTTCTTTAATCAGATTCCCCAGTTCTATCTTATAAAACAACACTTATGATAAAAATTTCTAAAGTGCATTATATCAAAATTAATACTTCATATGATTCTTACATAATACTATTAATGTTGCTTGTACTTACATAATAGCAAAAGTGAAAGTAAAATATTTTATTCAATTATAATTAAATCAGAACTTTAACTAAACCAATAATAACAAAGCAACACTAAACATCACTTTGATGACAAAGTGAAATAAATACTTTACTGCATTCTTTTTCTGAGAAACAGTAATTTACAATTATTAATCAAATGTGCATAGTACAATCTTCACTCTCCCATTTTGCCTGGCTAGCTTGTAGTTGCTGCTTCTTTACACCACCATAGTAATAGTGTAAGTGGATGAACATATGCCTGTAATTATGGAAAAAAATAGATGCCATTTTGCACCAATTTAGATGTATGTGTTTGTATTGAAAATGCCTTTGACAGAAATAGAAAACAGTTTCAATAGGCTTCTTCGTAAAATATTCAGCTAACAACTTCATTACATATGTTGAATCAAAATTTCATCACTACATATAATTTTAATTAATTTATATACCAATTTTACACATATTCTGAGCAAGATCACAATTAAATAATAGTAGTTAATGATGAAATGTCATTTGGTACCAAATAACAGCATAATGAAAGTGTTCCAAAATGTTTATTAGACACAGCAGTTTTTATTTTCCTGCTGAGTAAATTATTGGTAATAAAAAAATTACTCGTGTGAAATGAAAGTAATGTAAAAATAAAACTAAAGGTTTATGCAATCTAAAACAAATTATTTTTAAAAGCCATCCAAAACTGTTAACTATCTCTTTTTTTCCCTCTGGTAGAAAACTACCTGAAATCTCATAAATTAACACATGGAAGAACTATTAAAAACAGTTTTCTGCGTTAAAAATGCAATTAGATATTTGTTATGACACATATATTCAAATTTTTAGTCATTTGAAACCATAAAAAGACTTGAAAAAACTTACCTGAAATCTGGACAATAAATCTGACTCGTAAACAAACTGCTGTGGATTAGTACCATTTCTTGATATAACAACTAATCCATGCTTCCCAACAATGCTTTCAATCTATGTATTTAAAAAAAGGGAGGGGGTGTTTAATAATGAATGCTAGAATGCCAGATACATCATTCTAAATAAAATTAACTTTTTATCCAATGACTGTTTCATTAAGTATGTATTATGCAAAACAATTAAGTAACGACATGCAGCGCAGTTACGAATTTCTTTCCTTAATTAATAAAAAATATTTTCTTTAATAAGAAATAATAAGACATACAATATCAAAATTTGACTTACGTCTGATTCATCCCAAAGACCTGGTACACCAAAAGATTCGAGAAAGTCTGCACCACACAACAGCATAACGTAAACAGGCAAACTTGAATCCCAATGCTGTTCTTGGGAATTATTATTCACAACTATGTAAAAGTAAAAATAATCTTTTTAAGAAATAAAATTCCACAATTATTTTCTATTGTAGAAATTAAATAATTACCAGAAATGGCAGAACTATTATATATGTTACAACTTTTCACACTTTTAGTTGAGACTGTATGGCCAACTACCTAATCAAGAGCCCATATACACACCCTGTCAAAATAAGTAATTTACAATTTTGTTTACCAAATCAGCATTGTTTCTTCATCATTTTAAATTTCCTTACTTTGAATACATCTTCCTCGTTCTCATTCTGTTTTGTAGCCTTTCACTACTTTCTTGAGCTCGACTACCGCCATTTATTTCCCTTCTAGAAACTATACTAGTAATGTAATATTTTCTTGCTCTAAATTATTATTTTCCTTTTATGTTTCATGAACAGCCTCTCTATCAGACAAATCAGATTCACTTGTTTCAGAAGGAACAATCCAGTCTTGTTGAATATATTGGATTTAGTTTCGGTATGAAATTCTTCATCAGGTTCAGCTTCTGGTGCAGAATTATCATCAGACTTTCAGAAACTTTCAGCATCTCTTCCTTCGTTAGATATTTTCTACCAATTCTTCTAGGCGACATAATAAACAGGTCACGACAACAAAACTATCCAAATGAAGTAAAGCACATTTGTGTTTACTAAAAAATAACCTTTCTAACACAAAGAAAATAAATGCGCAGACACGTGGTGTGCAAAAATTCCAAATTCCCCCCCCCTCCTTTGTCCCTACTCACTTTTGTGAAATATGCAGCCTTCCTTATCAAAAATACACTTGTTTATCTCTTAGCAAACTGGAAATATATAATAAAAAATCATAAAAATAATGAGAACTATATAATTTACTGGATACGGTTAAAATGACTGACAGCCATTATTCTAGGTATATGGCGAAAATAATTATTTTAAATGGGGGGGGAATCATGTAATACTCGTAAGTTTTTAGAAAAAGTCAAAAAAAAATATCAAAGTTATAAATGAAGAATTAAAAAAGTTATGTCCAATTAAAATGGAGATGCATTCAAAATGACCATTGTCGTAATTGTTGACAAATGTTGCTCCAGACAAGGTCAGTTATAAGAGTTATATATAAGTTTTGTCAGTTATAAGACAGCGTGATAATTCTAACAAATATTTTTTATATGTCAAGCTACTATTATTATGCATGGTATATACTAAATAGAAATTGAAAATGTACAATTAGAGAGTAATGCACAATTAGAGAGAGACTGTAAGTAGAATTTGAACAATCGAACAGCTTCAAACCACAAAACATACTAAATACAAATGTAAAGTGGCACGTGGATTGCGCAATGTGGTTGCAAACTGTACTAATACGACTCCCGCATTTAAGCTACAGTTGAGATAAATCATATTACTATGACTCCCACCTTTAAGATACAGTTGAGATAAATTGTAGCACTACGACTCCCGCCTTTAAGCTACAGTCGAGATAAATCGTAGTACTATGACTCCCGCCTTTAAGCTACAGTCGAGATATATCATAGTACTACGACTCCCGCCTTAAAGCTACAGTCAAGATAAATCGTAGCACTACGACTCCTGCCTTTAATGTGTTAACATACACATTCTTTGGCCCAAGTAAGACACGAGCGCAGTGCAGTCTGCTGATGTGGGTGTGTGGTAGACATGAGCAGCGAAGTACTGCTCATCTGGTCCATGCCCTCATCAGATGTCGTCTCTCCTCCCCCCACTTTGAAAATCAATGACTTGCACAGTTTCTTTTAACACAGAATAGGCAAAACTCAAAAGGAAAGACCTAAATAACAAAAGACAGTCTTCAACAGTTGATGCTCCACACAATAATGAGCCATTGGAAGAAATAATGAGTGGCTGGAAGAAATAATTTCTAAATGTGATGATGTTTTAAGATACATCCAATTTCAATTTCTAAGTTATGTAATGTATTTAAACACTATAAAACCATAATATGCATTTGTGCACAACTATTCAATATGTCTACAAACATGTAAAATAAAATTTTAATTTGTAATTTCTGATTTTTATTTTTAAAAATATAAAATGCTTATAATAAATCTTTCAGAACAGCATCATTACAAAATCCATCCTTGTCAGACCACTTTATACACCATGGTAATGACACAAGTGCTTAAAAAAGGCAAAGTAGGCAATAGGTACAGCAAACTTAAATTGTAGTTTTTTCACTATAATCAGACTGAAATACATGCACTGGCCAATGAATTAGAAATCGAAGATCGATATCTTAATGGACCACCTTCTGCATGGATAACTGCTCTGATTAATTTGGGTATTGAGTCTACATGCTTCTAAAGTTCATTTACATCCACAGAATAACATGCACTGGCTATGCAGCGTTTTTAATCTTGCAAAGTAGATGGAAGAGGAGAGTGTTTTTGTATGCAGGTGGTGGTGTATTTAATTATGGCAAAGCACACTAGGGCTATCTGCCTAAAGGGAGGGATGCCTGCATGGAGGACTTTCTAAGGGAAACTGGATTCCAAGAAAAGATGGAAGCTGGACAGGAGAAGTTGAAAGCCGGATATGCTGAGATAAAAGTCGGATATGATGAGATAAAAGCTGGATATAAAGAGATGACAGCTGAGATCAAAGCGGGACTGAAAGAGATGAAAGCCGGACTGGAAGATAAGAAAGCCCAGCGGGAAGAAATAAATTTCGGCTAAGAAAAAGTGCGAGAGCAACTCCAACCCCTGAAAGTGGAGCTTGCGAAGAAACTGGAGCCATAAAAGAAGATGTGAAATGACAGAAGTGGCACCTGAAGAATCGAGGAGAAGAACTGAGAAGTAAGCTGTTGAAGTATCCGAGAAAGCTAATGAATAAAAGGATGAAACATCTACGAGATAAAGAAAGAGAACGAAAAGATGCAGAAAAAGAAGAAAGCGCTTCTCATCCTCAGGAGTCCGAAGCTGAACTGGAAGACAGTGGTAATACTGTTTCTAAAGATGAAGAAATAAACAAAGTGGCTTGTAAAGCTTCTGAATGGGAAGAAGAAATAATTCATATAAATAAAATTCCTGATTCTCAAGTGCCTGAAGTGGAAATGGAAGAAAGTGAAAATGCGACTATTAAGTTCAACGAAACCGATAGTGAAGTTACAAAGTCACAGTTAGCAAGTATTGAATCATCTGAAAGTGCATGTGATACAGAGATGGGAGAAGCTGATGTACAACTTACGCAGAGTGCTCCAGTATTGCAAAAAAATTTGCCACTTGCCACTTCGTCTCATAGTGCAGGTTTTAAACAGACAAGGACTTGATTCTAAACCTGGATACTTATGTTTGTGAAGAATCGGGCTCCGTTCACGACTCTGATGCAGAATTTGAAGCTGGATCCCAGGAAACGGGGGAAAATGAGTATGTACTAGCTGCTAAAAATACCCAGGTGAACTGTATGCATGCTGCGAATAAACTACAGAGTGGTGAACAAACTGTTTCACATCTCCCTGTGGATGAAAAGTCTGAAAGGACTGAATCTTCAGACTGTGATATGCAAAACATAAATATATCTGAGAACTGTAGTGGAAAAGCATTTGACCCGGGTATTTTAGTGAATAGACAGACTGAAATTAGACTCTAATTTAATAGTAGATTTTAATTTAGTTTAGATTTTGAGCCTTTTAATTTGTATAATTTGAATTGTATGTGTTTAATTGTGTACATAACTTGTACATAGTGTAAATATTTGTTTCTTTAGTTATGTTATTTGTTTGTTAGTTTTATGTTTTGTTTGTATCGAATTATGCTTCTGACCAAGGGTTGTACTGCCCGGGACGCACAGTCCTTGGGAGGGGGCAGTGTTACGAAATGTAAAGGCGCGGTAAGATGGCTTCCCCGCACAGCAGTTTTAGGGTTGCCATAAAATGGCAAAGGAGGGCAGGGTTGCCATATTTGGTGAGAAATCGCCCATTTGGTGGCAAAACTGGCGATATACCGTAGACGGTTGGAGAACCTTCTGGAACAAATTCTTACCGGTTTAGTCCAGAATGTTCCTGAACACAAGCTGAAAGCTATATAAACCGTGCTGGTCTGCAGTCAGTAAGTGTGTCTCTCATCGAGAGTGTGTGAGCCTCGTCTAGCGAGTCAATCCCTGCGGAGTCGATCGAGTTGACAGCCGGGCAGCGAGTGCCAAGTGGGTAGGCGAGTCCACTGAAGGAGTCTATTAGTGTATCGCGCTTAGTGCATCGTCGAGAGAGCGTGTTGAGCTCCAAAAACGACTGAACTGAAGAGTCGGGAGCCGTGCTCGTGGGTCGTCAAGTGCATCGTGAGTTGTAGCGTGGAGAGTCTTGAGAGTACAAGGGGTTCCGAGAACGACCAAGCAGAGTCGGGTTCGCAAAGAACCCGACTCTGCTTGGTCCAAAATAGCATATTTAGTTACCATATAGCAAATAGCATATATTGGACTCTGCTTGGTCCTGCTTGGTGCTTGGAGACAGCTTGGTCGCAAAGCTGTCTCCACTGTGATAGCCTGATAGTATGAAGGCTGTGTTGCTGATCGTGTCAGCGTGTTTATAGTAGTTCATTGACGACTGTAAAACATGTTTTGGAGCTGTCCTGACAATATTGTCTAAATAAAGTGTGTTTCGATACTTCAGCAAGTGTCGTCGTTATTCACTCCAAATCTACGAACCCCGTATGAACATAAAGGAAGAAAATAATGCAACAACTGGTGTCAGAAGAATAGGAAAAAAACGTAACAATATAAAGTAGACGTTATTACAATAAACCATCATTAGCACAAATCCCTTAAGGGACTGAAAACTCAGGTTGATGTTAAAAAAATTCACAATAACTGGGCCCTCAAATTTTATTTTTGGGCATATTCATCATTTACAAGGACATGGGTACACATGTACTACAGTATATTAGATATAACAATAGAAAATATAGCAATAGAAAACGCAGCAATCCTACATTAATTACTGTACTGTAAATTCGCAGATAATTTTCTGAGAACACGGAAACAAAAATG